AATGATGTCACTACTTGGGTTAAGGTAATTCCTTACTCGGAAAATTATAGGGAATACGAGGGTGGGTTTTGGACGGTTAACGATATACCTTCTATCCTCCGCAGCCCCCCTGTACCTGCGCTAAATCCACTTGCCGAATTATAGGATAGTTACAGCGATGAGTATCACTGATGAGCTCTGGAAATATATCACCATTTACCCGAAACAAAAAACTTTAATTTCAAAGTTTATAAAAACGGTCATGCTTCTCAATTATTACAATCCCACATCCCCAAAAAATATCAATTCCAGGAATTTTTATACGCTAACTGAAGCATCCAAATTTCGGCAAATAAATATTAAATTCCCACGCATACAGCAATGAAAAACGCTGCGTGAAAGTGTTCGATGGTGGGTTAATAGTTAAAATACAAGTGGGTTGAAAAAAAAGGCTAAAGTGGATGAGAGAGAGTTGAGTGGGCGAGAATAAGGGAAAGGAGATATGCTTACCAAGCTTAAAGCTCGGTACGGTGGTTAAAAGGGATTTCGAGCCCATCCAGGATAAAGTACTCCACGGAGGAGGGGAATGTTGTTGGGTCAGGTTGGAAGAGGAGTAAAAAAAAAAAAAATTGAGGACAGAAGTTTGCATACACTGAGGTATGATATTCTGAAGAGTTCAAGTGACAGGCAGAAATAGGAGCGGATGGGGGGAGAATAGTTGAGGGAGAAATGGCCCTTCATGTAAATTAAGGGTGAGATTTCGAGGGTCCCTCAACCGTCCACTCAACGGATTGTCAGGATGACAGGCCGTTTTCCACTTATTTTCTCTATAAGTGATTTTGGGGGAGGGATTTTTTTTTTTTTTCGTCTCCCCGAAGGCCAGGGGTTGCTAGACCACTTGAAGAGGCATTGAATGCCATAGGGTCGTGGGGTATTGAATGACAAGTGGTCACTGGAAATATTTTCGTGCTTGGTCTAGGATTTTGGTAATTTTTCTCTGTTATTTTATGGAAAATGATTGATTGAAAGAGTGAGCCTTATGCAATCACTTTTCCTACCCTCCCAAACTCCAAGAGACATTAAATTTATCAGGTTCAACCCATTCCACGGGGACAGATGAGTCGCCGAGAAGAAAAAGGTTTTTCTACATTGAACCGATCACGATTCTTCCGCAACTGCTTGCTCCCTCGGGAATTATGGATACCATTATACGAGAAAGATTAGAGGTCCTCGTAATATTTTTATGACCTTCATACCAATGGTTGGATGGTGTGAGGGGTCAGAGAGGGTCAACGGAGGTTAACGTTGATGCGAGAGAGGTGAAGCTCAAAACGCATCACAAACTCATGGTTATATATTCCATTTCATTCCTTTACGTGCGATAATGCATCGCATTATTTTTTATTCCTTTGAGCAGAGTCTTTTTTAAATTGCCACCGAGTCGGGAGTATCAATGGAGTCGATTCAATTCTACTCCCCATTTTTTTTTTGGTTACTCGTGGATGATGAGGTAAAGAAAGGGCTTACATTGGAAAATTGAGAAAAGTCGAGGTGACGAGACGGTGAAAAATTTTTCCATATCCTTACAAATATTGGGGATTACGGAGCAATACGGATATTTTTTTTTATTTTAATTCGTGTTGTGACTGAATCATTAATATTTCGTGTTTTCCATTCATTTTTTTTTCAGAGTAAACTCTGCAGTCAATAATTAATCCATTAAAATTTCATAATTTTCTGAATGGAGTCGACAATTGTTTCAGCAATACTGTACTCCCCTGATAGATGAGCAATTTTTTTTTCCCCCACCGAGCGTGACACGAGAAAAAATGATACAGGAAGCAAAAGTCGATTATTCAATCGAGTTTCTTTTATCGCACCCTGAGAAATGGAATTTTAATGCCACCATACACTCGAGCTTCGTCTTTCCTCTCGCCTTGACAATGACAATAATAAATAACAGTGAGATATGGTGTGTGTTCTAGTTGTGTCTAGATACCGTACCAATGGCCCATTCAATTCCATCGCCATTTACCCCCCATTTTCCCATAAAAACACAAATTACACCCTCCCAATATCTCTCACAATTAATACTCCGATTATCGATGAACAAGTAGAAAGAAGAAAAATAAATCCAACTCATAATTCAACTGGCGAAAAATAAAAATTTGATATAATAGGTCGAGTGAATCTGCTTGCAACATGGTGTAAACAGGATTTTAGTATGCCTCGAGCGATTTTCTCATAAAAAATTGAAAAATTCACAACAGCCAGACCTGAATTGAGGGTGTATTTTGTTAGTTAACATGAACGAGAGAAAGGGGTGAGTAAAAATAAAAATAATAAAAAAATAAACGGTGGTTGAGAATAAAGGTACAGTCGACCGGCTTCTTCCTTCCCATTCTCAACGCAGGGGAAAATTTCTGAATTATGAACGCTGCCCTAATGCGAAGACAATTGTTTACGTTGAAACATATATACAGTAGCTCATTCGGTGGGTAAATAACCGGAAATGAAGAGAATACCGTGAAAAGGCACTTTAAATATTAATTTCTCCCTCCCTTTTTTCCCATTTTTTTTTCTATTTACCCCCTTGCCCTCCCAGGAGCGGTCATATAAAAGAAAAAAATTATTTTGACGGTAAAAGAGGGGAAGGAGGAAAAAGGATGGGAAAGGAGCGGAAAGGAGGGGAAAGGAGGGGAAAATTGGGGCAAAGTGAGACGCCACGGGAATAATTAACGAGTGAGCAGTTTGAAATTTCCCTTAACAGCAGAATTAATGATGTGAATGTATTTTTTTAACGTACTCCAACAATTTTATTGAGTTTTGTTGAGATGTTTTTTTGAAATCGCTGTTTGAATGCCAACGCCAACGACGAGAGCGCGTGCTTAACGAGGATTCAACCGAGAAGTGCTCGTCAATTATGAAACGCTTCTCTCCCACATCGTTCCTAAATTGCACTCCATCCACGAGCAACTGTACCTAACAGCCTTCCAGAGAGTGGAGAATTCCCATTTTATTTTTTTCATTTTTTCATCTTTTATTTTTAACTTGCCACCAGAGGTATTCGATTTGTCTCACAAGTATCAGAGGATTTGCACCGAAATCTGAGAAGAAAGTCGACTTGACTCAACCTCAAAAGTTGATGTTAATCAAGCTAAAGTTGATAATGTCGCAAGGACGGAAATTATTGGGGAAATATGTCGTGTGGGAATAACCA